CAGAGGGCAGCACTGTTCCACTGGCCAGCTGTTCAATGCTGCTATTGCTTTCAACACACCGAGAAACTTCAGCCAAGAAAATCTGATCCAGCCCGGCTAACAGCTGTGAGGCACCCTTTCCTTCCCAGGAACTAGCATCCACAATTATGCCCTTTTCTTCCCATCACTCTAACATCAAGAGCAAGTGAAGAAGCGACCGGAGAAGATGCCGAAGAAGAACCTAGGCGTGAACAGCAAGGCCGTCGAGGCGAAGGCGCGCAAGGACACCGTTCGCAAGGCCAAGGAGGAGCAGGTGGCCAAGGCGAAGGAGGACGAACTGTGGCGAGACGATGACAAGCTGATCTCGCGGAAGATGGACCGAAAAGCGGATGCGGAGAAGAAGAAGGCAGAGGCGGCGGCGAGGAAGGCGCAGAACCGGGCCGCCCTCGAGGAGGAGACCACCCAGCTGGCGGCGGCGGTGAGCAGCAGCGCCCTTAAAGCCGCCTCCAAGCCGGCCAAGGTGACCCGGGCCCAGATTGCGAGCACCATCAGCAAGACTGAAAAGGAGAAAGAAAAGGAAGCTAAAGCTCGTGAGCCAACACACCTCGAGCAGGAGGTGACGGAGAATGTCAATCGAATCGAGGTGGACGGCGATGAGGCGCGCAACATTGACGAGGCCATCTCCGTGCTCAGGTGAGTGCTTCTATTTAGTATTTCTATTTCGTGCTCACACTTTAGCTAACCCTTTGATCGCCATTTCTTCTTCAGCATCACCGACACCGAACAGCTGGACCGCCACCCTGAACGCCGCCTGAAGGCCGCCTACACCGCCTTCGAGGAGAAGCACCTCCCGCGACTGAAGGCGGAGAACTCCAACCTGCGCCTCTCGCAGCTGAAGCAGATGCTGAAGAAGGACTGGCTCAAGTCGCCGGAGAATCCGCTCAACCAGCGCTCTCTCGCCTACAACGCCAAAGCCTGAACACACTGCTGATGAACACTGAACAAAAGAAAATGGTACTCAATTTATACATTGCTTGGATGCGATCAACACAGAGAAGGAGAAGAATATAAATGCCACCGCCACTTGTCTACAAAAACAG